GTGCACGATTTCATAAATGGCCGAGTATATCCCCGAGTTTTCGGTGTGTATGTATGTGTGCATCGTATTCGGGTTAATATTCGAGCGGTACGGGGACCCACGGATCTCCGCCGTCCAGAGGGCCGGGTCTATCCGACTATTTTTAACGAGCACTTTAACGGCATTCTGTATCGTCGCGATGGCGGCCAGAATTCATTGGCTGCGAAATTTCATTCATCCACGGTCCCCGCGGATATATCGAGAACCGACGCTACTACTCACAGGCGGCCGTCGATATAAATAATTACGTAAATCCACGATACACAACGGATTTAGAATAAATTGCAATGCGGTCGAGCGGCAACTGCCGCGATATACTCGATGAACGATCGATGTGATTTCCGAGAGCAGCATATTTCAATGACTCTCCGTTTCGTGCGTTTGCGGAGGTTAAACCTTTGGGAACGGATAACGTGAAACAGACTATACAAATTACTTGCTTACAACGTTCGAAAATTGTCGCTAGTGATAACACAGATATAATTTCATTCTTTAAAAAGAAAGGCAAAGTAACGTGTATTCTGTTCCCTACTTAATACCTAAGTTTTCAGTACATAATTGACACTTGTAGAAATCGAAGGAATAATGCAATAGTCTAGCATGTGCGCTTCGTGTCTATACACTCCCGTTCATAAGTATTAGGACAGATATCGAATATAACAACAATATTACTCGACGAATATTTACATGCACGCATCGCGACACGTAGAAAAACAGTGTACCCTCCCGGCGTGTCCGTCTTCGAGCAATGCTTCTGAATGAAACAGAAACCGTGCGCGCGCGACACGAAAGCGTTACGGGTGACCGAGAGATTGAATTTAAACGATGTTAACCCCTTCTGCACCTTGTACTCACGACGCTTTCGATTTTCTTGCATCAATTATTACGCACACGCTGTTAGGATTGTGGCCGATGACGTAACTCGCTGAAGTATAAATTTGTATATCTTGTATTGACGTTTTGACTCTTATGTATTATCAACGGTGTAGACTGTAGACGTCTGGAATAATACCACCGAGGTGATGGCCTCCTTCTAACCGTCGCGAAAATTGTATTTCATTACTGTTTCATTATGAAAGAAAACTATTCCGTGCTCTCTATTTATTCGAAATTCGTATGGAACCTAAACAGTTTTTCCCTCTGTCTTTGATGTTACGTCGGATGACATGACCCCTGCCATATCCGTGGATTGTCCAATTAAATTGTTGGACTATTTCGGTTTAACTCTATCGGTTCAACTTTTAATTATTTAATGCCCTATGTTCTTTGATGTACAAATATAGCGATTGTGAATTAGTCAATGGGATTAATTGTAAGAACTATCCTATTTTGTGCACTTTATTTCACGAATCCGGATTCCGTACCGTAATAATAAGGGCACCAGAGTGTTGGACCGCGGAAGTTCAGTTTAACGAGCAAATAGCGACATTGGTTCAGCGTCATGGCCTTCTACGTTAATTATCTTGTCCGATAGCGCAATCTACGATTCAAAAGCTGACGGGTACGTGTTTGCGCGTCGGCGAAGATACGATCATCGGATTCTGATTACCGGGTTTCGATATAACCGTCCGATCTCTGTCGACCTGGACACGAGCACGGATCAGCGAGCCAGCGTAAAACCGAAGAGTCAAAATGTACAGCGACAGGATAAATTTACACTTTTATCGATTCCGCTGCTCGCGTAGTAGTGAGTTTTCGGTATCTCGAAGTAACAGCCAGACAAAAGGAAATATTGCATTACTCCTCCCCTCTCGTTAGCATAATTGTTTCGTCGGTTTCGTTCCATTCGTAGATTCATTAATTTGGCTAATCCGCCTCAATGAATTCCCCCCCATCCCTATATTTGCACTTCCATGCAAAGGCTTCAGATGAATGGCGGGAATACGAGTTAAAGTTCACCACCTGGTAAATCAATACGCCAACAGCAAAAACAGATAGAAACCGAGAAATGGTAGAGCGGGACGACTGACGAATAAAGCAGAGAAAAACGAGAGCGGCGACCGGGAGTCTTGTTATGTCTTCTGTCCTCCTCGTTCCTCCAGTGCACACCAGTCTGAATGAGAACTCCACCCAATGGGAGAACGATCAACCCCTGAAGTAGACACGCTAATAGTGCCCCCACGTAATTTATACCGCAGGAGCTATTTTCTCGTTAAAAATTCTGAATAAAACGCCGACGATGAGATGTCGCTGCTGCTGCGTACTTTACCGACAAACGACTTTGTCACCTCTTTACGGATAGGGTCCTTGACAAGAGACGGAACGTGTTCTACACCATTCCTCTCGTATGTCACACAACGCAATTTCTCTTATCGTGGCTTACTTTCTGCTAACTGAAATATTTCAATTTCTCTGTACTAACTATTGATTTGAATTCGATTACCGGCCCCCTGTCGTAACAAATACTTATCAATTATGCATGAGAGCAGTAAATTGGGTCAGACCTTTGCGGTACGATTAAACGTGTACACCAAACGTATCTCTGTGACTTTTCGTCGTATGACACCTTTAAGTTGATTCGACATGGCTGAAGCTAGCTGTGTACCGCGTGTGTAAAACAGAATTTTTCAAGTAAACAGATGGCTCTCGACTGTGAAGGAGACAAAGTTTGGAACTCGGAACTTTACTCAGAGACCATTCAGCTCGTGTCTTTTTAGTCGTCTTCAAGGAACAATATATTTTTAAAAGATCATGACTTGCTGTATAGCGATGAAATGTACCCTCGCGAGCAAACTCGGCTTCCACTAGGGGAAAAAACGGCGTAGAAGAAAAGTCTCCTACCACTTAGTAAATTTATTCCAGGTACTAAAATAAATGTTAAATCGAATGTTAATTTGGCATAAATTTAAATAATTCACGATACCAAATTGTAGGAGGCCCTTCCCCTACGCCACTTTTTCCCCTAGTGGAAGCCGTGTTTGCTCGTGGGTGTATAATACTTGACATATCTGTGCTCGATACTATGTTACGTGTATAATAAAAGTGAAAGAACATTAGCAAGAAATGTCAATACATGAAGTAAATCGTCTGTGTTCGATCTTCGTTATGTTTACGTTACATGATGTTGTAAATAGATAAAACTTATGTTTTTCTTATCCCTTTTGCGACACGAAAGAAATCGTAGGAGCATGGAAGCGTTTCATGAAAGATGTGTATTGCATTTACAGTGCTACCAACGGTAAACTGTACGAACACAGCGCGGCGCGCGTGCTGCTCGATCCATAACCTCGCGCGACATAACCTCAAAATGTATATTATAATATATGTATGTATACATATACTTACTTACATAGATATATTTTACCGGCTCAATATCAAAATATTATGAACCTATGGTTGCAGGCATAGATTTAGATGCATATTTGTATCTGTTCTATTTGAAGAAATAAACGCAATTAAAATGAGATCACGATGACCACGATATTTAAATTTAATAAAATAAATTAATAAATTTAGTAAAAAGGTAATCGGATAACAATGAAACCATATTTGCTTGCAACGCCTGAGTGGTAAAAAATTAAAATGATTTCCGACAACCTACGCCATTGCGTAAACCTACAAGTGCATAAACATGTACATGCATTATTCTTGTATTCACGTGAAATTTTACCAAAGTATCGTTCAGGCTAGTGTAGTCAAAAAGAATCGAATTTCGACGAACGGCTGGTGCAGATCAGAAGGGATTAAATAACGATGCCCGAAATAAGATTTTAATACTTAATCTGGTCTGAACTGCTTCGAGGCTCAAGATGTACTGCTCCTCTCGAATGGACGCGATATAGTCTCGCGTTTATTTTATGATTTTTACTTTACCTTTTAAGTTTTTCTATCGGAGATAGTTTACTGACGATTTGTCCACCACCAAGTCCGATAGTCTACACCAAATTGAACTGAGCCAATACCCAAATCATCCCAAAACGGTTTCACAGAATCTTCCGTCATCAGATTATATAATATTTTGAAATCATATAAAATATTTTGGAACATCTCATGAATATTATCCAACTGAAACTTAATTCGAACAATTGATATGATCGTATAACTTATTCATAACGCACTCTATTACAAAACATAACTGCATAATGGTATACTAGTAAAAAATAAACTTATGAATTTCTCTGCGTGTACAGTGTTCGAGTAGTGTGAAAATTCTATTGAAACCAAAATTATATCTCAGAGCGCCTAGAATTCCATTCTTCTTACACTTCAGCGACCAAAAATATAAATACGATGATGTGGAACGCATAAAATGTACGTGGATGTCTTCTACTTTTATACGTGCATTGAAATGTTCACCATCCTTGGATTATAAAATTCTAAAAAGCAATATATGCACATATATCATGGAGGTTTATTACCACGAATAAAATATGATTGACGCGGAAGGATCACGACCGGTCCTTCTTAACTATGATTAAATTTGTTCCACATTTATTTCGAAAATGAAATATAATTATGTTCAATGAAAGGCAGTAGGAATTATTGGCGTCAAGCCCTAAAACAAAGAAAGAGTAGAACGCAATCGAACGCCACCCGCATTATCAGTCACGTCGATCGGTTTGATAATCACGTGGTAGAAGGTAGCAGTGTTCCGATTTCTATCTGGCCCAAGTGCTCATAGGTGATCCTGATGATTTTATAGCATAGTCCATAGGCAAACTAAAAATAACTCTTCCGACAGCCTGCTGATCCCACTATACCGACATTGACGCACCTCGTAGGTGGTACAACTAGTGATTAATATCATGAACGACATAATGACCATATTAATTACTGATCGTGCTCCTACAATACATTAACAGTTACCAGAATGATTAGGTGGGTGGTTGTTAAGTCAGCTGTAACAGTAGAATAGTATAAGCAAAGGCAATTTATTATTAATTGTTATCACGTGTATAAAATGAATTTATTTATTAATAATAGTGCACTTGAATTTATATGGGATTACCAATGTGTTGCAGATGTCACACCATCAGAACAAGAGGCATTGTTCGTCCGAAAACTTCGACAATGTTGTGTGACCTTCGATTTTATGGATGCAACAGCAGATCTTAGGGGTAAAGAAATTAAACGTAGTACACTCAATGAATTGGTTGAATATATCACAGCTGGTCGGGGAGTTCTCACTGAGCCTGCCTATCCAGAAATCATTAAGATGGTAGGTGAATTGAGAAACTAATATCTGCATTTTAATATCTCAATAACAGAGTATTTACAATGTAAGAATACGTTTGTTGAAGATTTCTGCAAATCTGTTTCGCACATTGCCGCCTAGTGAAAATCCAGATTTTGATCCAGAGGAAGATGATCCAACAATGGAGGCAAGCTGGCCCCACCTTCAGCTGGTTTATGAATTCTTTCTACGCTTTCTTGAATCTTCAGATTTCCAACCAACAGTTGGCAAAAGAGTAATTGACCAAAAATTTGTTCTACAGGTACAGAATAGAACTCTTATGTATACAGTATTTTTCTCTATACTATATATACTCTCTGTATAATATTTACTGTACTCACGCTCATTTTCTTTTGTAGATATTAGAATTGTTTGATTCTGAGGATCCTAGGGAAAGGGATTTGCTAAAAACTGTCTTGCATCGTATTTATGGGAAGTTCCTTGGCCTTAGATCCTTCATACGCAAACAAATCAACAACATTTTTTTGAGGCATGTATATATATAATCATTGCAGTTGTAAATGTATGTAGATAACCAATTTTTATACAAATATTTTACTATTATTTCAGGTTTGTGTATGAAACGGAGCATTTCAATGGAGTTGGTGAACTCCTCGAAATTCTGGGTAGCATTATCAATGGATTTGCTCTTCCTCTAAAAGTTGAGCACAAGCAATTCTTGATTAAGGTAAAAATTGTTCACACGAAAACCAATATAAAGTATAGTTCATCCTTTAATTAATTATGTGCTCTTGTGCAGGTGCTGATACCATTACATAAAGTGAAGTGCTTACCATTATATCATGCACAATTAGCGTACTGTGTGGTGCAGTTTCTTGAAAAAGATGCAACTCTAACAGAACCAGTTATACGAGGCCTCCTTAAATTCTGGCCTAAAACGTGTAGCCATAAGGAGGTACTGATTCTTGGTGAAATTGAAGAAATCCTGGACGTGATAGAACCTAGCCAATTTGTTAAAATACAAGAACCTTTATTCAAGCAAATTGCACGTTGTGTATCTTCACCACATTTTCAGGTATTTACAATAACAATTTAATATTACAAATAATGAAACATAATGAATAATTCGAAATAACGATAAAAAAATTATTTTGCAGGTGGCTGAAAGAGCACTGTACTTTTGGAATAATGAATATATAATGTCTCTAATGGAAGAAAACAATCATGTAATAATGGGAATTATGTTCCCAGCATTGTATAGAATTAGCAAGGAACACTGGAATCCCACGATTGTAGCCCTTGTTTATAATGTTCTTAAAACATTTATGGAAATGAATAGCAGGCTCTTTGATGAACTTACTGCCAGCTATAAGTCTGAAAGGCAAAAGTAAGTAGTATATCAATGTCAGAATAAATTTCCATAATGCAAATAAAGTTATTGTTGTTTTTGCTCAACGCAAAGTATAATAAGAACACATCGATAGTTTTTACGTTATCTATAGAAATATTTTATAATGTCAGAGAAAGGAAGAGAGAAAAGGAAAGGGATGAACTGTGGAAGAAACTGAACGAATTGGAGGTAGAACGGCGTAATGCTCTTACGGCTACCTCCAGTTCCTCCAACACTCCAGTTCCTGCAACTACAGCACCTGTGACACAAGCTCGCCCCTGAGCTGGTAAGTAGCCATGCCTGTCCAATAATTCTGGTGATATCTATGTTTGTAGAAATAAATTTGATGCTAAAAGTATCATGAGAAATTGTAAATGTTTTCAATGGACGTAATAAATAAGTTACAAATACCAAAATAATTTTTAATTGCAGGTGGAAATACGCTGCCCGATTATTAGTCCTTAGTTTACGTCGATTGTCCATGTATTACATGCAAAAATTACTGTTGTTAGCAAAGCAAAGTGTCTCACGATGGCATTCTTGGCGTGATGTAATTCCTTTTACTAGTTACGCCTGAACGGCGAAGCGAAGAAGAAAGCAAAGAAAAAAACGAAGGAAGCAGTAATCAGAATATTATTCTTGATGATGATTGATGAGTTCTAATATTTTATTGTGTACATTAATTTCCACTTTTCTTTTTTCTGTTTTCTTTGACAGCAATGATTTAAGTTGTATAATGTACTCAGTGTCAGCACATAATATGAGGATGTTAGTCCCTTCTTAACTAAGGTTTAGCTGTGCTCGGTAGGAGGAGATGATCAAGGTGTACATTCGAATAGATGAAGTATATATCGTTATAATATTGATTTTTGCATGTGACATTCGCTTCGGTTACTAAACGGCTAATGTCCTCTCATGACTGACCCACCTTACTCTGATTCTCGCCTCCAACGGAGCCGGCAGGGGCGTTGTTTGAAATGTATATACAATATATTATAAAATTATAATAATATTGATGATACGACAAGTCACACATTCACACATACACGAATACACCAAACTGTGGTAAACACGTGTAACGTACAGACCGATGTGCTACAAATACTAACATTATGCTGACTGCATGCCCGCAGTAAATGGAGCAAATTTTTTCAAGAAAGGTGAAAACCGTGACGATATGCGATCAGCATATCAAAGAAATAATATTATTGAATAATACGGTTCAATTCATTGAAACAGAAACGTAAAAAATATATGTTGTTTTTTAAATAAAAAATATAAAATAAAAAATAAAAGAAGCGAGGGGCAAGTATACAATAAAAAAAATTTAATTGTACCAAAATATCCATTGCTTATAAATATAATAAATAATAGAGATACAATGCATAAGATTTATTCGGAACTGTGCTCCCACAGGCCACCGCAGAGACGTGGGATCGTTTTTAAAGTTTCTTACCATTGCATAATAATAATAAACAATAGTAGCTCTTAATAAATAGGTGGTTAACAAAATGAGTGACTGCTGCTTGCTCATATTTTCATGAAGTAGTCGAGAGATTCGTTACATTTTACTTTCGCCATCCTTTGTTTCTTTCCATGTCAAATATGTTTACCTCGTACATCATAATACACTTTGTTTACATTGTACACTGTTTATCTCCACTTCATGAAAATTAGTTCAAAGAATTGAAATATATAATTATTGTAAATGCTGTAATGTGACTCGAGAAGAACAACATAGATAAATTCATAAGAGTTCTATACGCATAAATAGACACTTTATTAAACGAACGTCTAATTTATTTCTACTCTCTAATTTTTTTTTTAAACGCTTTGCTTGGTCGAACATCAGTAGACTTCTAAATATTTATTCTGGCCTATTTTAGTATAGGCTTGAAAAGGTATCCCTCTCCCCCTTTTTCATACTGATAGAGCATTTTGATAATTAATACGTTCTGGGCTAACTTAAATTTTAGTGTTATTTCAAGTGTACTATAATAAGGAATTCTTGATAATATATATTAGTATTTTTTTATATTGTGACAACTGCATTTGTACGACCACATGATTACCAAGAATTGGATATGATACGATTGCAAACGAAGTACTTTCACAATTTTGCGAAGAATGAGGTATAATCAAAAGACTAGAACAATAGAGATTCTACGAATATACAAACCCGCGAGCTACACTGTGATAGTCCATCGTACGTGTTTATCGTTAAAACGCAATCATTAGCCATTATTATTATAATTAGACTTTCTTTCTTATACGAATCACGACCCAGCAACCTCAGTATATTTACGATTAGTACGAATTATGATGACGATATAATTTCATTGTATATATAGATTTAATAGATATATACTTCAGATACTCGTATTAATCACTGTTAGAAAAACAAATTGTACAGTTGATTTTAGAATGTAAAAAGAGTAACATAAATGAAAGTTGATTAATTTATCCTTGTCATATTAAGCATAAGAACAATTAGCTATTCGTATAATAAATTTAAATGCAGTAATTAAATAAGATTATTAATTCTTTATTTGTATACATTATAGTAATTACAACTCAAAGACGATGAACATTCATTTAAATGAACATATGTATGTATTCTAATAATTTATTCTTGTGTTATCAAATTTACGAGAAAAAGATTCTCTTTTTGTTTGTATTTACAGAAGTTGTATCGTAAAACAAAAGAACAGAATATCTTTTATTTCATATATATATATATATTAGGATCACCTATGTATGTTTTTCACATACAAAATATGTAATTATTCCTGTAAAAAAGTGAATACATGCGCCAATACATTTTCTGTATTTTATATCATACGATTATTGAGATAGGTTATGGTACATGAATAAAAATAGTACAAGCAGTATACATATAGACAAAATAACGAAAAAAGTGTAAAATACGATTTTACGTTTATAGAAAAGGAGTAAGTTTTAAAAAGTATCAGAAAAAAGTAAATATTCTTCCTTTTTGACAGCTTAAAATTCTAGTAATTCTTTCTTAGCATAATTAAAATGCATAGTCACATATATCAAAATAACGTATAATAAAAGAATCGAATCATTTTCATGTACTTTTTAAATTGCGTTAAATGTTTTCGATTTAAACGTCTTTAAAAAAGTAGGTTAAAAGTAGTACGAAAAGTTTTCCTGAGAACAGTATACTTTAAATTGTTGACATATCGGACGCCGCGGTAGATTACTCATTGGTGTAGTAGTACCTTATGTATCTTTCACGAATGTTCGGAACATGAAGGGTAAAATGTGTGCTTAATTTGATGAGGCTCGGTATCTTTCAGATGTTTGCATAATAAACTTTTGTAAAAATGTAGAAGATAATAGTTGCCTTTCAATACTAAACACATTAAACGCACTTAAATACATGCGACAGCGGTAACGTTACGTCTATATAGGTTACAAGTTCGTTCTAAACATTGACGGATCTATAGATTTTGCGTTTGATCTACTATCTGTCATTATGTTGTCGCGAAAAAACAAAGATTTAAGGACAATTAAAGAAGGAGTTGTGGGGAAATATGTTAAAAAAGAAACTCCACCCGAAATGCCTAGTAAGTTGTTTTCATTTTCATTTCAGACGCTTCGTAAATGAATCGTGTGCATACCACTAACAACGTTTATTATTCGAATTTTGTCTTGTTCTTCACCTTATTATTTATTTCTAGTTATTAATGTATGGACTACAGAACCGAATAGAAGGACAAGGAATCGTAATAATCATCCAACTATCCCTACATCCATGGTAAATGGCAATCGTGTACGTCACATTTTTGTAGGCAAATAAACATTTGTTTTTACACAGTCTATTCCACAACAACCCAGTATGGTACAAAAGTTTGGAAATACTAAAACAACAATGAGTGCAGTAGGTTTAGGAAGTCACGAGGGAAAGTATACACCTAACAGTTCTGTTCCAGATTTAGCTCAAAGGTAACACATTGTGTCTTCAATTATTCATTAATGTGTACACAAGCTTAAAGAAACACAAACTTTAATTTCATTTTCTCAGATTTGCCAGTCTGTCTGTTAATACAAGCACAAGAGATGGACTACCATCTCGTACAGCCACCCCAATGTATCATTCTGGCCTTTCGCCTGCTATATCTCATACTTATGTTAATCAGTATGCTGGATCTGAGTATCATTTAGACAGAGTTCAAACACCACAGATGCCTTATAAATCCTTTGATATTGACTCAGGTTATGAAGAGTATAATCATTCTGTGTATCGTCAAAATACAGGGTATAATGATGATAGTATATTAACTGTCATCCATGGTTATAAAAAATATATAGTTTTACTATATTTTTAAGATACAGTCGATGTCATTCAGAGAGATCAAGTTCTAGGAATGAGCAACAAGAAGAACTTCCTTTGCCTCCTGGATGGTCTGTTGATTTTACCCTCAGGGGTAGAAAATATTACATAGATCATAATACAAAAACTACTCATTGGTCCCACCCCCTTGAAAAAGAAGGTTTGCCCACAGGTTGGGAAAGAATAGAGTCACCCGAGTATGGTGTTTATTATGTCAAGTAAGTACTGCAAAAGTTAAATTTTTAAATTAAACTTTCATGTAAGTTTACTGTTTCATTTCAGTCATATTACGCGACAAGCGCAATACGAGCATCCGTGTTATCCCCATGAAATACAAGCGGTCCGCGTTGTCTCGCCGCCACGTCATACACACTTCCATTCTCATAGTGTCTTAGTCCCAGCGAATCCCTACCTGAACGAGGAAATACCTCACTGGTTATATGTATATAGTAGAGCTTCTGTAGCATTAGATCGTAAATTACGATGGGAGCTCTTTCGTTTACCTGAACTTGACTGTTTTAATGCCATGCTCACAAGATTGTACAAACAAGAACTAGAAGAAGTAGTTATGCGCTATGAAGAGTACAGGTTTGTTAAAGATCTAATCATGTTGAAACAATTTGTTAGCAAAGCACAATGCTCCTTAATATTGTTCCTTTAGGTCAGCCTTATTATGTGAAATGGAACAAAGACTAAAAGAATTAAATCCTGAAACTTCAAGTTCCTCATCTGGAGCAATTGCTCTACGACAATCTTTACCATAAGTAAAATTTAATGCAAAACATTTCACAGCGTTTTACTGTCTGTGTATTGACAAGAGATTTTGCGATATACGCTGAAAAAATTGACCAGGATATTGTTATAATTATGTCTATAAATGGCATAGATATAGTAAAATTTTATTTTTTTTTAATCTGTTTTGTAAATTACCATTCAATAAACTAGCATAATTTTAAAATATTAAATATTACATTTTATTGATTTGCAAAACTTTTTGAGTCTGACTTTTCCTTTGCCTCGTATAATTTAGACTCTACCACAGTGAATTTGTTCAGACGTATCGTTTGAAGATTTCTACCAGCAGCATGCTCCAATATAGCAGCCTCTGTAACAGTATAGTGTTGTACAAAATCGAATAAATCATGTGGTACAAGAGATCATGAGGTCTATAGACCAATGGAATTATATACTTCTTCCTTCAAAGTCTACAGCATTCTTGTCTTTCCAATGTAGATAATATACTATTATAAAACTGTTCCATCCAATGAAACCATACACAATGGCCAAGCGTTTTTTCGCCGTAACAGCTTGTGCAACAGTCTTCGGCCGGAACCAGTTGAGTATATATTTGAATACCATATTACAATTTCATTAAAAAACTAACGTAAGCCCCACAAACAATTTACTAAATAATTAATTTGTTGTTAACCAGTCCCCACCAGTCTCTAAAGGCACTGGACACTGGCTGGACGTTCAACGGTTCAACCATTCAACTTCCTTGAATCGTGTACACTCACGAGCAAACTCGGCTTTCACTAGGGGAAAAAATAACGTAGGGAAAAGGTCTCCTACCACTCGGTAACTTTATTCCAGGTACTAAAATAAATGTTAAATCGAATGTTAATTTGGCATAAATTTAAATAATTCCCGATACCAAATTGTAGGAGGCCCTTCCCCTACGCCACTTTTTCCTCTAGTGGGAGGGGCCTTCTACCATGCTCCTACCACTTGGTATTGGGAATTACTGAAATTTATGCAAAATTAACATCCAATTTAACATTTATTTCAGTACCTGAAATCAATTTACCAAGTGGTAGGAGGCCCTTCTCTTACGCCACTGTTTCCCCCAGCGGAAACCGAGTTTGCTTGTGGGGATACGTTCTAGGAGAAATTCTGCATCACCTTTCCTCTAAGATCTGCTAGGTATGTAACACAATAATCTCTAGAAATAGATTAACGGCGTAAAGCACCACCATCGAGTTAGTGTACAAAATGGTAGTGGGGCGCTAGGTGGGCGCTAGCGTCCAAGAAATTCGGGCCATGAAAATGCATCGGGTATTAGCTCTATCCTTATACTTCGTCTGTGGTATCAGTCTGTAAATATTTACAATGAAAAAGAGTTGACAGAACTTAAAGAAATTTATTACTGAAAATTTTTAAAAATATAATTAAATATGAAGCCTGATACGTACAACGACATTGTGACCACTATTCGAAAATTTCGAGGTTTATCAAAGGATTGTCGTAATATATTGAAACAAAAATATAGCGAGTAAGATAATTACTGTATAATTAATTGTATAATTTAATTATTCAATACACGTTATCTTCTTTTTACTCAGTATTCCAGCAAATACACTGTATAGTATACAATCCTTAGAAATGCAACATAAAATGAAAGTCAATCATAGCAAATTGTTCGGCAACAATAAGAACTATTATGATACGTAAGCATTCAGCATAATGTATAGTTTTTTATATTAAATTATACATGAACTTTATTACACTGTTCGTGCAATAGTTATATGGAAGCTGTACAAAATAGAGAACCTGTTGGTATTTTATTAAAAATGGCAAAGGATATTGGTGCACCTCCTGCACTCTTAGCTAGGAATGTTCTTGAGAAATATTGTGGAAAAGATGATCCTAATGGTAAATATCTATAATTCAAAATTTCATTAAAAAACTACATTTTTATTATATTACGAAAAATATATTTGTAGTTTCTAGAAATGAAGTTAGTAAATTATTTAAAGATACTACTCTGATCCAGGACAAAGACCTTGCGTATGAAGTCTATTTGGTAACAATATATAAACTTTTTAAATATTTTAATAGTTAATATATTTTAAAACAGTTCTATACATATTCTTTATTTTACAGTGTATATTGTATGATAACTTGAATGGACCCATAGCAGATGCTATAGGCGTGTAAGTATCCTGTAATTCCCTAAAAATTATAATGGATTTTTTACCAGCATGAATTCTTAAAAATTGAAAAACTTTTAGGTCAGTTGGGCAGGAATATGAATTGAAACTACAGAACTATTTGATAGAACGAAATCTCGTGTTTCGTAATGAGCAACACTTGAGATTGAGAGGATATGACAAAACTCCCGATTTTAAACTTGAAGTACCAATCGCAGTAAATGGTTTTGTGATTAATTGGATAGAGTCCAAGGCACGATTTGGAAATATAGAAATACACCAGAAATACATAAAAGAACAATTTCTAAGTTACTGGAACAGATTTGGTCCAGGATTAGTAATTTATTGGTTCGGATATTTAGATACTTTAACTGAACCTAGTGAGAAAAGGTTTATAATCATGGATAAGTTCCCAGAGGACATTACATATATGGATCCTGCCTGTATCAAACCTACTGTGTGATTCTGATAAGCACGATCATGTGTGTTCACTTTGGAAAGTATAATTTCATAATGATATTAATATTATGTGATACTTGTATGATAAGGATTATTGTTGATAAATACAAAACAGTATTTTTGCCGTTTTATGTCAGTATTTGTTATCTTGTAATTATTCTTTGAACTAGTGGACATACTGCCTTCCTTTCTTCTTAGAGAGTAAGTTTCAAGTACAATAAGAAATATTTTAAATATTTTGAATTACAATGATTTTGGTAATCAAGTTGTTACCAAGACACGTAACCTTGACTTGTATCACTATTTCTCCACATTCTGTTGGTTTAGGTACTCGTCGTATAGTGAAGCAAATAATTTTCAAAAACTCATGAACACAGTCGCAATTAATTTCTCGTCGATTTTCTATTATTTCAAAAAGTTATAAAGAATAATACCGATTTTAAGTTTATGAGATGCCTTTTAACAAACTTTCTGCGACATTACGTATACATATATAATCATTTTTGAGATAATATTAATATATCGTGAACTACGAAATTATATAATTCTTTTATATGTCCTCCATCATGAAATCACAAGAACGGTCTATGAAATTTCCAGAGAAATCACAATTTATCAGAATCAAAAGAGAGGTAGAACTTTCTATTTGTTCTGTTTGTTATCTTGTGTCATTTTTTCAAGATTATTTTTCATAATCTACGTTTGTACAACGTATAGCCTACTTTCTTTTAGGAAAAGAAAGAAGAATTATGGCTATCGAAGGAAAAACTGTACGTAGAAGGTAACCGCGACGAGGAAGAATGCAGGATACAACCAATATTGCATCTCAAAACAAACTTCAATCAATTATCATGTATTCCCTCGACTGATTTTCCTTCCATCAAGTGTAATATTACAGAAGGACAAGCATTAAAAGTATCCAAAGACATACCAATACGTGTCAAAAGATCTGGCTTGTCCATGGTGGAATCTCGACGAACGCAGTATCCTTCCATAGAGGAATCGTCTTCGATCACGTAAAATATTTCATACTTCAATATTTCCGTAAAAGTTCAGATACATCGCGTTTTCTTCGATAGATTGTTTTTCGTTGTCCACAAAATTGTACATGTACAGAGGTCTTAAAGAATAGTGTATATGTGACATTTTTTACAATATTGCTCTATATGAATAGAATGATAAAATAATGTATAAAAGTACAGATGCAGACGAGACGATGATTGGTTTGAAGGAACTAAAATCATTGAAAAAAATACTTGAATTGAACACTGAATCTCTACAATTGCATCTCAATAAAGAATTATTTGAAAGCAAAAGTCAAGGTGAAACTGATGATTCGGATATAGATGCAAAAGAGAAATGTATAGAAAAAGAAATTTTAGAAGTGAAAAGCCTTGATAATATTATACGAGAAATGAACGAACAAGTAAAGGTGAATATTCTTTGCTGTATTCTCAGAAGATTTTTGTAAACATATAAATCATACCGCAGAAAGCAAGAGAGGAAACGTTAATCTGTCAATGTGAGAATCGGAAAAGATTAAAAAATGTTCTATCAGCTACTCCACCTGAGACTGGAAAACAAGCTGAAAATACACGGTTATTTTTTCAGTTATGTCCGACATATAAAACATTTGATACAGGTATGACTATAAAAATGATGTACAAAAAATGCTAGTAACGTGTTTTTCAGGACAATTTGTACAGCTGTGCAAGATGCATTCTTATGTAAATAGTATATATTTTAAATATCTGTTTTTAATGTTTCATTATTTATTTACATATTTAAAAAATATTAAAAACTGTTTTAAATATGGATAAAAGATTCTACTATCGCAAAGGCAGAATTTCAGAACAATAACGTTTCAAAGATATTGCTCGAAACAAACGATTTTAAGTTGCCAATGTTTGGAAACGAAAATAATACGAACCGTAGTAATCTTAATAATTCAGTAAGTGTTACATGACCTCTCTTGTAGCTTATAAACTTTGGGAAGTTTGATCGTTGTATTTTTATTAGTTAAACGATTCCGGTTTGAAATTGCTTAATAATGTTGAGAAAGAAGAACCAGCAATAATGAATTCAATAAATTATATTGAAAGTGTAGAGGATAAAATATTAGATTGTGATGTTAATCCGTATGTCTTAGATGAAGAAACGAAAAATGTGCTCTTAGAAGTGGACAAAGAAATTTCCGTGAGTTGACGAAATAGTTAACAAAAAGTTTGTCATGAAAATACTCATTTAATTTATAAAATAATAGAACTATCATAAGGATTTCTGCAACGATCGGGGAGAAGCTGCAAAGGTGCATGACAGCATGTCAAACACAAGCAGTGAGCTTTCCATGATAAATAGAGTACCAACAATAAAAAGCTTGCAAGATATTGACACAGATCTTTTGGATGAAGTAATACGAGAAGCCCGAATTATTGATCCACCGTCAGTTTTAAATTAATTTGAACAACTATAAAGTTAAATAAAAACAATACTAAGTTAATACGAACACATGTGACAGATACACTTTTCTAAAATTATATAATTTCTTTCATATATTTATAACTCCTTCGAAACAGTATCAAAGTTTTTCTAGTATGGTCAGACCTTTTGTCAAAGTTGAAATGAAATACTGAATGGTGACTCAACTGTTATGAAAGAAATATTTCCGAAAATATTATCTATGATACATATAAAATATTTTTCTAGTAGCTTAATGAAATTTTTATGCATTGTTTTAAATGTACAAAATATGCAATGATGTTTAACTTGTATCTCAAGCAGAGCCAATTCATTATCCGTATTTTTTAAGGAAACAGTAAATTTGAAGTGATTATAATTAAACATAATGCCTAAAGCAATATTTAAATTACTCTATGTAATTAATTATCTCCTATTGAACACAAATGCACTGTCAATTTTTTTTACATCATGTAAAATAATTTAGTACATTACATTCATTAAATTTTATCCTTTTTCCTATTTTTATCAGATACTGTGTACTTATCGTAACTTTTAGTTGGATCAAAAGGTTCCCACCTACTAGCAGGAAATATGTGCTTGTTTCTTTCATACCAAGACCTGAAAATAATTTAGTTTAAAAAAGGGTGTATTGGTGTAATATTTGTTACGTTATAGAGTTTAATACCTAAGCAACACTTTTCCAGCATGAGACTCTTCTGTTTCAACAGAAGCATCGTGCATAACACGTATATCATCATGGACATCAAATGTAAAAAGTGGCCCACTCTTACCTCTCGCCTAAAATAAATGTCTAATAAATGACTGTCATGAAGAAATGTCATCTTATGTAACGCTTACCTTTGTCACAATGAAATCATAAAATGTATAATGATGTGGTAAAATAAGATCTTCCTTTACATACATTAGCTGATCAGCCATGACTGTCTTAAGTTCACTGAATTCACGTCTTAAAACTTCTAGACATCTTTGAAGTAGTTGATAGATAGAATTACCTGCCAACAGTGCGAACTAATAACAATTAGTACCAAATTATTTTCCTAATGAATATCATTGTATAAATAATACATAATAGTGTAGACCTTTACCTTTCTTCATAATAACACTTCGTCTGTGTCCAGAACCATCCCAGTAACTGAAAGTAATTTCAATTTCTTCTTCCTTTAATGCATTCTGTTTCATAGCCCATTCTTGTCTTAATTCTTCTCTTAATCTGTTTTCTTCTTCTTCCCTTTCCCTATCAGGTAGAAAACTTGTATCTACATCTGGATTTTTCTTTATCTTTTTTATTACTGGATTACCATCAGTATTATCTTTTGTTTTCTCTATCTTTGGCTCTGATTCTTTATCAGAAACTTCAGTTTCATCTTCGTCTAAATTAAACGATAATGCTTGTATTTGTTTTTTCTGTTTATTCTTTTCAGCTTGCTTTGCAGCAAGAGCCCTTTCCTTCTCTTGTTCTTTCTCACGTTCTTTTTGGGCAAGTTTTCTTTCCCGTTCCTTTACTATATTCTCTTGTTTCGCTTTCATTTCATTTAAAGTCACCAAACCAATAGTAGATGTTTTTAACTGTTGCTCAACAGCATTGTAATGCGTTGCAAATTTATTCTCTATGTTGTGAATCTTTAAGTCATCTTCTATTTTCTTTTTTCTCAATTCTATTTCTTGCTGAGCTATTTCCCTCTTTTTCATTAACTGCATTGCTCTGCCAGCTTCGCTGGCTGCTCCTTTGTAGTGTGCCATATTTCTGTGTACGTTTAAAATTTCAAACAGATACTGATTGTTTGTGTGTGCTACACTGAACCACTGAAAAGTAAAATTATATACAGATAGAAATATAAACTATTCATACATTGAAATTATTCTTTAAATACATTAAAAATAATGGAAGGAATGTAAACAAATGTTTGGCACTTGAGAGTTTGTATATTAACAAATAATTTAATAAATACATTAGCGATAAATGAAATACAAACAATTATAAATGGAGATATTTATAGACCACAAGATTGTCTCATGTTATATGGTTATTGAGTAAAAAAGAACTGAATACTACCGTAGTGGATGGAAACTGCGTCGAGTAGAGTTTTCTCCAGTTTTCTCGAAGAGTTTAGCGATATACAATATATACACTGATATAAACTTTTGTATCTGTAGTTATCTGCCACCTGGCGCTGAATGCTGCAGCACAGACCTTCAGAACACACAAGTTGTTTCTGCGTTGAGAGACAATAAAATACAATGCTATACTTTATCTATTTATTTAAATATTTCATACAAAATTTAAAATATATAAACATAAACATATGTATAAATTCCAAACAATATCCGTCATATAAGATATACACGATAAATAAATATGTATGTCGGGACTTGATTGTAGTTTTGCGCGTTAATTTTGAATATTGAAGTTTGTTAATAATTTATTGATTATTTCAGATGTTCAGTTTTGATGTTTAATTTATCGATCCTAAGTTTTGTAAATAATTTTATTAATAAATTTATCGTTGAGTTTAGCCGTGTGTACTTCTATTTATAAATCGTTGAAATTCTAATTGTACATCATACATCTCACATACACGGGGTCTCTACAGCATGCTTCGGGGGCTCCGTGACCCCACATTCTCAGCCCACGTGATTAAAGGCGCCTCCACCGGGGCCTCCGTGCAGCGTTTATGGCGCCTTCACCGGGGCTCCGTGACCCCACGCTCTCACCGTGCAGGGTCTATGGCGCCTCCACCTGGGCTCCGCGACCCCACGGTGTCTCCCCACGTAATCAATGGCGCCTCTACCGGGGCCTCCGTGCAGATCTATAGCGCCTCCACCGGGGGCTCCGTAACCCCCACTCTCACCCCACGTGATCAATGGCGCCTCCACCGGGGCCGCCGTGCAGGTCTATAGCGTCTCCACCGGGGGCTCCGTGACCCCACGCTCTCACCGCGCAGGCTCTATGGCGCCTCCACTGGGGGCTCCGCGACCCCACGCCCTCACCCCACGTGATCAATGGCGCCTCCACCGGGGCCGCCGTGCAGGGTCTATAGCGCCTCCACCGGGGGCTCCGTGACCTCACGTTCTCACTAGAGATGATGTGAACTGCTACTTGTGAATCACTCGTGATTCGATCACGTTCGTTCTCAATCACGGTAATTTTTCACAGTGATTCGTGATTTCTCGTGATCGTTTCTGATTGGTGGAGAAACCTAACAGTTCTTTACACGCGACACATAATCTGTATATTTTATATTTTATATTAACGACATCAAAACAAAAATTCGAGTTATATCGTATAAAGTGAAAGAATAATTAGAAACAATGAAGAATAATGAATAAATTAATGATTATAAATTATAATCTACATGTTACCTAGCAAATCATTCTTTTAGAATTTCTTGTTTTTTCTACTGATTTTTACAAACACAGTAATGTAATTCATCGTAAAATCATATTGAATACGTTTTTCTGTTTAAAGATTAATGACTTACGATTGCAGTGAACAAATTCACTCAAGATAAAAAAATCGCAATCACGCTCGTGAATGAAGTTAAATCACGATCGTGAATGAAGTTAAATCCCGATCGTGATCGTGATTCGGCGATCACTGTGATAAATCACCGTTAGTGATTTTGCACGCCATCTCTAATTCAGGCAAGTATTTTGTGGCAGCAGTAGCAAGAATTGTTTATGGATGTGTGTGTGCTCGTACGATAATGCATTAGATTAGATGCATACAAAAAGTGCATACCTATATCTGGAAATGTAGCGACGACTTGTTATTGCATTGTGACAGATTCATATCGTATTGAAATTAAGAAAAATTAATTGAAAAATGCCGGCGGTAATTGTTGGCCCTCCTCAACGTAGCGAGCAGATGTGGCAGGCGTTAAAAGCTCATATCACTAGAGAAAGGCAACGAAAGAAACAAGGTAACCTTTTTTACGTATGACATTTTTCTGTAAAAAGTATTGTATTGCAACAATGCAGTAGCCAAAGGTCAGTGAATACCCCTTTTCCTGTATTCTGTTACCAATTATATTTGATGATTATGTTAAAAATAAAAAAAATTGTATTTAAGAAATGTAAACACAATTTCATGAAGTCCACTTTTATATATATAGTAATTGAATATTGCTATAATTTTTCTAAAATTACATTCCTTTGTATAGTTATATTATCATACTCTACTTCGTGTTTCTTGTAAATGAATAGAGCAAGAAGCAGACGCGGAAGAGGAACGCTTGAGGAAGGAAAGGGAACGTCAGCAGAAACAAGATGTAATGACTTTAGGTGAGACTAGGGAGCAAATATCGAATCTTGAGAACGAACTCTCACAATTGAAAGATGAGAAGCATCAGTTGTTCTTACAATTAAAGAAGGTTTTGAATGAAGATGATAATAGAAGAAGACAATTAATCAAAGAAACAAAGTTTGTATGCGTTTATTATGAAGTAAAATCTATAGTTTATTGATGTGTCATAATTTAATGTTAATACTTTACAGTGTTTGTTCGGAAGTACTTACAGCAGTAGGAGGATATCCTGGAACAGGTCCTAGAGTGGTTCATCCACAAATATTCCTCCCATTACCACAAAGCAGTAGTCCTCTTTATAAAGTTGCTGTTGGCACACCAACACATACTTTGCTACCGAGTGTAAGTGCATATTGTTTCATACCCTCCTGTAAATAACTGCAACACCGCATACGCTTTTGTTTTCTCAGGGACCATTAAAGAGAACTCATAGTCCATCACCACCACCACAAGCCTCTCCATATCATACTGGTTATGGATATAAACCACCACCTTCGATTCCAAGTTACAATCCCCCACCATCCAGTAAGTATACAGGCAAACATTACTTATACTTTTGTGTTAAAAGATATGTATTTACAAAGATAAAAGAAAGACGGTATTAAACGTAGATATTTGTGTCTCTATAGAATCTGAGGAAGCAGCTAGGAGATCTGGCGATTCCCGAGCTGTTCTCTGGAACAGTGAGTGAATATAAACCTTCTTTAATTTTCGTGCTCTTGTTTTAAGAAAACATCAACAGTAGCGTCTACATTTCCGATTGTTAACTTTGCCACCGTGTATTGTCTTGCAGAAAACAATCAATACTCTGCCTCCAGTTTCTATTCAGCTCCTACTGGTCAAAGCGTGTACAGTTATTCGGCGGCTACCACGCAACCATCTCGGGAACCTGAGCCAGCAAAGTCCGTGTACCTTTCAGGAAACAGAGGGACATTGTCGACACATCAAACGGGTATATTAAAATCTCTATGTATCAATATTTTATGTCGAAATTGAATTGCATTAAAAAAATAAAAGCATTGAAATACTTTTATATTCGTTAGCCTATGTAACCGGCTTACATTCGCTGGATCATAAAGGTGCATACGCAGAAGATAAATTTTATTTGAGACCGAGTAGCCATGTTACCGTTCACGGTGGTGCTATTCCCATTCAACAACCACCGCAGGTAAGTTTTTGTATTTGAATACTATAATATTTACACAATACGATATTTTTACGCTGTAATTGTATTTAGGGTGCGAAAACTGGAGGTATTACATCAGGATATCCGGTCAGAGCACCACAACCACCACCTGCTCCGTACCCACCACCACCACCTGGAACTTACGTTAGTGCTTCTGGTGCTAACGTTCCTGGACGGTTGTTGTACACTCAACCTGGTGCAAGGTATCTCCAGAGAGAAGTTTAGGACACTGATTATCACTTTCTTAACTTGAGGTATCTCAAAATATTATTTGGACATTTAACGATACCACATAAAAATTGTTTATATGTCGTTAACTGATCGCAGTATGCAAACATTGTACAAATACAAAATCGATAGATGCGTAACTCTGATAAGAGGTATATAATACTGATTTTTATTTATATATTTGTTTTTTCATATAGTACGTATATTCTTTGTGAAAATAAAAATCCTTGATTGTTATTATCATCCAATATAAAAGTATATAAAAGAAAATATTTTATGTAGACATAAATTTAACATAACTCATTCTTGCAATATTCGCCATGGTATAAAGTAACAGGTAATTATTATTAATACTTGGTCATCACTGAACGTATCCCGTCATTTAATTATAATTGATTATAATGAATTAAAGTTGAATTCCTAATCGTTTCTCATTTTCTCTGTGATTTGTGGTGAACAAATGACTGCGAAGATCGTAGATATCGTCCACCGTAACCTGACAGACCTTACAGGGAATATTAGTATTTTCTGGTTTTCTTGGATCCCTGTCACATTAAGGAAACCATGATTAGTAATTGATACATTAGTTACTGTACATCTTCAATTTTTTACTTACTCCATTGTTAGTTTCCGTAACATTGTCACGTGTTCTATAAGTTCTTGTAACTGATTGGTCTCTTCTAATTCCAATGCATTGTGTAACTTAAATATATTGTTGACAATCATAGACGTCCGACTAGGTTGCAGATACAAAGACTCATCGTATAAATTCCATTTATCAAAGTTAGTAATTGATTCAATAGTTTGTGCTTTTCTTGGTTTATCAATGAGTTTTAGTAACGCGTCTTTTATTCTGTTTTGACAAATTATAATTTCTTCCATGTTATCGCTGCTCTCGGATTGGTGATTGATTTGAATTCCAATGTTCGTCCAATGACGCAGTCTGTTTATCTAATGAACGAAAGAGAATCAATGAAAGCATGTGTATAAAAAAATGAAGTTATGCCAAGCAATCACTCACATACTGCAGATCATCTACGGTAATCTCAGCGTCGAAATTAACCTCTATGTCGTGCTCTGGAAACATACTTGTTTTGGTAGTTGGATGAGATCCAAGTCCGCACAACGCGCCAACGTAATAATTTCCAAAATTATTCCGTCGCAATTCCATACACGGTGTGAAAATCAGTGCGATTAGAGCGGTCAAGCCAGGAAGACGTGGCATTAACGTTGTGTTGTACAACGTTAACGAACTGCCGTATACATTTTGAGAAACAGAACCAGCGACGAGAAGTCTCTGATAAGCATCCTCTGGGTCGGTGTCCAGAAGAACCGCGTTGACGGAGTTCGATGCCATGTTCACTTTTTTATCCCTGCCAGCCATAGTAAGATGTTTCAATTCAATTTCCAGAGGTGAAAATGGCCCTCGCAGGTTCACGGTTGTATAACACTCCGAACTATGTGGTGGATCCGAGTAAATGTCCGGCATGTAATCTTGATTGTACTGTAACTGTTCATACTGATAACACTGCTCCTCTGACATGTCTTCTTGTTTCAATCTTAAATCATGATTGAAGCGTGAAAAGTAGCCCTCTTCTTTTTTTATTGCGAACCCTTTATCGATCAGACTTTGGTTGATACTAATTTCCTCGTCATTGTGCTTATGTATCAGTTCGAACGCAGCAACGCCGTTCACGATGGAATAAATGTCGCCGTACAGTAGACCCGGTTTATTAATCAACATCCAGAAAAAGTCGTAGGCAGCCTCCGACCAATCGTCATTTAAATTGTGCGCCACCGATGGTCGAATGTTCGCCAGAACGGATTCTATGGCTAGTGCCGGAATGTTAACGATGTCGCTGTTATCTAAACGTCTCAAATCGCACAGTCGGCACTCGCTCGAGTAACCGAAATCGAGGAAAAATAGTTGTACCAATATTTCGGGCGACGTTATGTGTCCCTCCACTAATGCCCGGTAATAAAATTTGCAATTATTTTCTTCGTACGGCGCGAGTACAATCGTGCCTGTTTCCGGAGCAGTAGTAAACATGTCCAAGTAATTTACTATTTCCACAATTGTAGACATTATTTTGTCTAGGTCTTTTTTTACTTTTGAATCGCGTTGTTGTACCCAAAAACGTCCGGGACTTTTAATCTAAAAATTTTAGTTATTAGTTAAGGATATGGAATGTTACATTATAAATACTGTTAAAAGATATACGTACATGTAGTATTATAATAGGAATACGAGATACTCGTAAACCCGGTAATCGTGGCCTCATACTGTCTTTAATAAGGTTGTCAGACGTGAAAAAGATCTTCCTCTTTAAATTCATTTCCTGCGCTCGTTGAAGAGCTGTTTCTTCGTTTAAAATTGGTATCTCCATGGGAATTTTACACTGTCTCATTCTGATGGCTTTGTAAACAGACGGAGATATTTTTCTCACTGCGTCATTGTTCTCATTTTGGAAAAATTCGTCTTTACTAAATTGAATGTAAACTCGAGTCGAAGCGTCGAAAGATACTTTTATTTTGCCAACGGAAGACGTTAAGTTTTGTCGAAAAATGTCTTGAATTCTCCTTGCGTACAGAAGTCCCGGCTGTCTTAGAGGCCACCCTTGTACATATACCGTTTTAGATGGGTCCAGACCGCCCAGTAACTTTATTCCTGCATGTTCATTAGTTTTTACTTCTAATACATGTTTGATAAAATAATTCGGGTAAAATGCTCCGGCGATTACAATTTTCAGAACAAATGGTCGTTCAGTTTCATCCCAAACTACTTTATTCAAGCCTGCGCTTTCTCTTATACCTAGTTTCTCCAATCTATTTGTTAATTCCGTAACAAGGGCTTTGACTTCACGCAACACTCTGATCTGTATGAAATTTCTTTGGGCCCATTTCTTTTCCGCAGCATCACTCGTTATCCGACGACTCGCTTTTTCGGTTATCCACACTTTATACACGTTCATGAAAGCTATGCAATCGCTACATGAACTGTCCGCCCAACTCAGTCTAACATTGTATGCCAGTAACTTCTGTTGGAATGGGCTGTTAAACATATCTTTGACAGCTAAACTGGCTGCAATAATAATCGTGTCTTTTAAGACACTGTAAACATGACCTAACATTATTAATTTTGTTATATGGATGTCCAGTGGGAGATTGGCCATAACTCGACCGAGATCTGTTAACTCTCCATTCAGATTTTGAATTTCATTGGGTTTATCGATTAATGCACCTGCTTCTTTCAACAGCAATATCGTTCTTTCTAAATTTCCAAGATTGGGAGGATCGAGGGAAAGTGCTAAAATAGCTTTGGGTTCTCCCATGTCCAACAATTTTGCTTTAAGTACTAGATTTGCTAGTGGTGCCCGTAACATTTCCGGTGACGCTTCTCCAGGCAGTACAGACTCGTAGAAAGCTTGTGGTACCAGTCTATATACTCGTCCATCCATTACTCGGCCTGTACGACCCGCTCTTTGGTCACAATTCACTCTACTCGCCCATGTAAGTTCTAAACATTGAAAGTTCGTCTTCTGATCAATAATAAGTTGTTTCGTTAAACAGAAATCGATTACATATTTTACATCAGGTACTGTGATACTGCTCTCAGCAATATTTGTGGACAAGATAACGCGACGATAAGTATGGGGTGGTTTTTGAAAAATTTGTTGTTGTTCTTCATTTGTGATCGAAGAGTGTAACACTACTATATCCCATTTAGCTTTTTCATGTTGTGGTAACGATAACAGATTATGCATTTCCTCGATCTCGTTAATCCCTGGTAAGAATACAAGAATCACATGCCTTTCATAGACATTTGTGTCTGGATCATAGTTTGCATCATCAGCTTTCATATCCACATCGTCAAGAATTTTGATCAGATTCACGCAAAATTCCATCATTTTCTTTGAAACATTTGGTTCTGCAGGATATACTTCAGGTAACTATAATGAAGCAATGGCACGATAGAATGAACAAATTCAAACATATTCTGTTATATTAAACCCTTGCCCTATGATTTTCTTGACGTCTGCAGTCTTCTGGATTACATTGTTATCGATAGTTTCCCAGAACGAAAGGAATTCTGTACTTATCGCAACTGTACTTTTATTGGAAAAGTTAAATATTAATACCAGCAACGTGGTACTTCACTCCGACTCAAAGAAAACCGATTAATATTCTTTTTTGTTGAATCGATTTTCAAATCGTCAACACGAGTCTGACTCAATGTTATAGAGCAAGGGATTAATACACCTAGAAATTATTTTATATATTTACCGGACCCAATGCACCCATTTGACAAAGGTAATATATAGCAACATTAAAGTAATTTTTTTTTGCAATGTCAATAATAGGCGCCGGTACAAGTTTGTCTCCTACCGGCGAAGAAAAATATTTTGCAAACCTATCTACTTCAAATGTTGCAGACATTAGAACAACTTTCACTGTACGTGAATTTGTACGTAATAATTTACGGACAACAAGCAAAAGAAAATCCATATTCTGGTCTCTTTCATGAACTTCGTCAAGTATAATATGTGTATAATCAAGCATGTTTTTAGAATTTATTAATTTATGTAAAAGAACACCACTTGTGCAGTAAGTCAAACGAGTATCTCTGCACGAATGATTTATCAAACCCACTTGATAACCAACAAGGGTACCCACAGGCCAATCTCTTTCCTGACTAACTCGTTTAGCAATACTTATAGCAGCAATACGTCTAGGTTGTGTAACTATAAGACAAATATTGACATGAAAATTTCACTTAAATTGCCAAGAATATTCTGGTAAGTAAAGCAAGATTACCTATGATGTTACAGTGAAGTCTTTTCCTGTAGCAGGAATCTAAAATGAACTGTGGTACCTGAGTAGTTTTACCACAACCAGTTGGTCCTTGGATTACTACAACTGAATTCGTTTCAATCATGGAAGCAATTTGATCTCTTTTAGAAGTAATCGTTAAGCTAGCGTTTGGCTGATAAGCAAAATCATATGACTTAAATATTTTCATGGTCTCCTCATTGTTCACATCTTGGGTAAGGACTGTGCCTTGTGATACAACATCATAATTGGTTTCATTATTTGTGTTATAACATTGTGCTGACTAGAGATAAAAGAGAGTTAAATAAAATCTATATTGTACTGGAATTATTGTTTACTGTACCTCTAATAGTTCATTTTCCTCTTTTTGCACATATTCTGCTGCATAGTCTGTTCCAACTTCCATACTTCTAATTGTTGTATTTAATTCTGCATCTAATAAAGACATGTCGTGCGGTACTTTTCTTCGGCTTGATGGACCAGGCAGTACCTTTCTTTGGAAGGAGCCTTTTGCGCTGAAAATGTCCAAGATATCCATTTTCAGCTGTGTGTCTACAAAACAGTGAACAGTTAACATTTGCTTGTAAGTAACCTATACAAACTTATTTTTGCTAAAAACAACTAAAGCAATCCAAGTGTGTACTTTACCTTTAATCTTCTTTATAAATTGTTTATACTTTCACAGTTTTTAACAATGATACAGTGTCATTATTTTCAATACCGTCACACGTGCCCGATTCTTACTGATTTCAAATAATTGAGGCACGTACTTGAATCGCGCGTTTATCGGTATCGATTTATATATACCCCACAAAAGTTTTAGCACCGACTAGGTATAGGATAGACCTATCATCTTATGGGACTTCGTGTCTCATGTTCTGAAATACCGATAGTGTAAAAAGTCAGGGATTTTCTGCTGCCCTCTACGTTATGAGAACGGTGAATTTGTGAACTACGTTAAATCTAAGAAGGGACCATGGTCGTGAACGGATTCTCTTCCGTCCGTTCGCTATAAAGTAGACGTATTAGAAAGGAGTCTTGGGTTCTAATCCCGACGGACCTATATTAGTTTTTCTTCGCGTACAAAAAAGTTATTGCGTTTAATATTGTTTTTATGGATATGTATATGTATTATTATGTACATTTGAGTAAATTATTTTATTATTCCATTGTTATTACAACAGTTTAACAGTGACAACGAACGCATGCATATTTTCAAATATCGGACTAATAGTATATTTTTATTCTATATTATTACATATAAGTGAGTAATACGTATCAAAAACGTAATCGAAACACAGATTTTTATTACACCACAAACATCGCATAAAAGATATTTCGTTATATTGACATTTGTAATAATTATGGATGTTGCAAGGAAATCAATATTATTGACATTATGGAACATATAACGAAATATCACTGTAACACTTAAAAAAGTTTTAAAGTTCCATTTATATCATTGTCCTGTGAAAATGTTCATACTTCCATTAGCATTCATATTCCAATCAAAGAATTTACAGAATAAGGAAAAGGAATCTAAAGTAATTTTCAGTAGTTCCATACATCTTTATCTCGAATAATTTTCTAAAACATTCAAAGTACTAGACATTTTTACACTTTGAATCTCATATCGATTTCTAAAATAATCCTAGTTCGATGTAATATAGAACGTGGTTTTATGAAATAGATTAGAAATTCGCAGCCATTGGCTCGATATTGTCTTCAGTTTATAGTACTTTACCGTTGACAATACCGATTGCCCAGGCCTCACCACGAG